ATCCCAGGACCCTGGGATCATGACCTGAGCCGAAGGCAGACGCTTAATGACTGAGCCACCCAGGCACACCCAACGATACACATTTCTAAAAGTAAATTTTGATATATTCTTTCTAGAAACAGGAAAACATACATTTTCCAAGAAATAACCAAATGTTTAAAATGAAATTTAAAAACAAGGTATTTGTTTGAATAAATCTCTTTTGAAATCCTATACTAAATAAGAGTACTTTCCTAACTTTAAAATAATCTATAAACCTGATCCCTATAAACAAGGACGCTTCTCCTGCTTAGCTAATCCTAGACTGGGAGAAGTAGAAAAGAGTGAATAGAGCGCATCTTCTGTCTTTTTGTTGTCGTTGTTTTATCTTTTATTTTTATGTCTAAAACACAAGCATATGTTTCTAGTTCAAGATGATGGACTGAGTACTCTAATCTACCTCTCCTTTTTCCCAACGTATCAGCGATATGAGAAAAAAAAGGTATTATTATTTAAATAAATAAATAAATAAATAAGAGTGCTATCAGTAAACCAGAAATTTTGAGGAATCTAAACACAGTGGATTACAAAAGTTATGTCATTTATTTCTTTTCTGAAGCTATAACGTAATATGAAAAATGTGCTGAATTTTTGTCCAATAACTATGGAAATTGCACATAAAAGCATTTCTAATACGACTACATAAATTTTACTAATTATGGAACAAAGTAGAATAACTATACACATAGAGGAGATGTAAACTCCATAATGGTATTAATAAATAAATAAATTGAAAGTTTGATGAGGAACAGGATATTTGCATGGATTCAAAGATCCTCACCATCTAATGTTTATTAATTACAAAAGGAGGGGAAATAAGAGTAATTCTACAGTGGAGAAACCTGCAGACACAATCTTAGTAAGTGATCATGGTGATTGTATCACCTTGCATGAGGCAAATGAAAATCATGGGCCACCCGATAGGGTGTAATGAGAAGAGCATTATTTGTGATATTCCTGCCAATGATGCAAGAACTGAATCTAAGTGTAAGGATACATCAAAACAAACCTAATTTGAAAGTGTCTATGAGATTAACTGGCCTGAATCTTCCAAAGCCATCAAGGTCATGAAAGTAAAAGAAAAGCTGAGGAACTGTTCCTGACTGAAGGAGACTAAACAGACATACCACTAAATATAAATAACTAAATCTTTTTAGTAAAAGAAATTATTGGGGG